AAAATAGATTATCTTAATAAAATTTTGAGTAATTTTAATTTGAAAAAATGTCCAAAATTGTCCCATGTACAACACTGATTGTATGTACATACGTACATGAAATTGGAAGAGAGCATTGTGGCGAATAGATCTCACCGAGACGATTTGAATGATGCAAAAATCGTTCGATTTTGATCGAGTTATTGGCGTCCAAATGCATCTGAATGCATCTGATATGTTATATTCAGACGCCAATATCTCGTGACCCAGTGATTGAATCAAACGATTTTTGTACTATTAGAATCGTCTCGATAAGACGTGGTAAAATTATATATAATTTTGATTACAGAATCCCGAGATCCCTGCAATTAGCCAAATTACCCTTCTTTACCTTATATTAAAAATTGTCAAACCTTTTTTAATTAAATAAGTAAAACTTTATTAAAATTGTGATGTATGGGAAGAGTTTTTTTAACCCTACTTTTTAGTATTTTTTTATTCGTGAACAATTCAGATACATATGTGTCAGGTTTTTTGTTAACGTTAAACAAGTAGTTAAGCAATGATTAACCTTTAAAAAATTACCTAATTTAGTTAAAATCAGTTGTATTTATTTATTTAAATCCAGATCGGGTGGCTTGGTACATAAAAAGCGAGAAATGAGAGACAGGCTATGCGAATATCGGCAATGTCACACAAATTCGTTTCACTTTTATTCTCAAGTACATAACTTATGTAAAGCTTTAAAACTTAGCCTTCTCTTTATTCCCGTAAATCGAAGACATTCCTTTCTGTAATGAAGATTTGCAACAGCATAACATTTTTGTTGAAGTTCACAATATGGCTTATCGCGATAGCAAGGATTCAAGCTCAACAAACAATACAGTTGCTTGATACATACGACGGACACATTAATTCAACAACTTCATATGTGACGTTTATTTACAATCCACCAGGAGTATCTGACAAAACTGGTGGACTTTCAAAGATATTTGCTATGGCTAAAAGGCAAGCTGCTAGTGCCACTGCAACGATCGCGTCTAAACCTCCTGGATCAACAACGAACGGCATAGTAAATCAACCAACCCAACAACCATTAATTGGATTGCCTAGGAAAATATATATCTCAATATTAATTTGCAGGATACCCACTGGATCTGCAGAAATGCCGAGAATATTTGTTTCTACAGACTCTTCACAAAGCCTACCCGGACCTAACACGAGTAACACTCAAGAAATATTCATTAAAAATGGATTTGCAAATTATACAGTTATGATTCCATATACATACATTGGAATACTTTATCCAAATAAAACCGGCTTAACCGGAGATTACTATTATTCAGTTGGAGCCTCGATTTTAGGTATTTTAACATCGGTCATCTATACTCCTGATATAGTATATAATTTAAAGGCATAAATACTTTTTTGAAACAGGTTACAGACATCCACTTCCAACATCAAATATACAATTAATTCGAGAAGACACGGATAGCGCTTCGGCTTTGTTCAGATTAAATCAATCTTTTGACCAAGGTGTAATCACGGCATATATCGCGGAAACAAGCCTTGTAAAACGATTATTTCATTCTGCATGCGCATTTAAAATGAGTACATCGACTAACCTTATTATCCAATATAATTACACTACGCGAGGGTCAATAGATCCTAGTAATGCGACAGAAGTTTCAACGGTTTTTATATCTAATCTAAATAATGGCACAGATTATATTGCTTCAATAGTGGCCAATAATTCAAATACTTTACTATTATCATCAAACCCACTATCTCTCAAAACTTTACCTCGTAAGTTGACATCATTATTAATGTTATAGTTTGATAAAAATAATATTAACTTAATATTATTTATAAAGAAATTAATTGCAGATTAATTAGTGGTCTCAGTTTTTGTGATAGGGTAGCATATTCGGTACCAGCAAATCCAAACTTCACTACTACCGATATTGCGAATATTTATGATAATCTCGCGAATGCTAGTTATCAAAATTTCAGTTTAGCATTGGCTCAATATTCTTGTGATGCTTCACAATATTCCTTGGTTAGAAATTGTGATGATTGTCGAGTTGCTTACAAAAATTGGATTTGTGCCGTATCGATTCCACGTTGCGGTACCACAGATTCATTAAATATTATTCAAAGACAAGAGAACCAAAGTCGGATTCCTGATATTGATCAAGCGCTCAATCCTGGAGCGTACGGAGAAATTCCCCCTTGTATAGATTTATGCTATAATGTGACACAATCGTGTCCACCGACTTTGCAATTTACTTGTCCACCAAATAATACCTTTAATTCTTTATTATCGCTGAGTTATGGAAGGATGTCACCCGGCTATAACGTAAACAATGAAATTCAATGTAATCCAATGGGTAGCGACTGGGTCATATCAATGGCGAACCGAAAGGATGATAGATCTTTATATTGGACATTGGGGTTGGCTTATACTATTTTTGGAATTATAGTATTTGGTTCCATAGGTTGAAATTTAAAACATACACATCACCAAATAAATTCGATAAAATTCTCTGCATTAAATTAAATTAATTTAATTAAAAAGCATTTTAACATCATCTATATTATACGATAATGTAAATTCTACAATATAATTTCTTTAATAAAGTGTAATAAATCTACTTTTTATAATTGTTCTACGTTCTTCAAAATCTTACTTTTTATCATTAGAAGCCAACCTCTTTATTATTTCTTGTTTCACTAATCCTCCGATCTGGAATGCTTTACCAGGTTGATCTCTTAAATAAAATAATTTTGCTCGTCTAAATCCTTCACCTCTTTGTAAAATTTTAATACTTTTGATCATTGGTGAGTATATGGAAAATCTTTGTTCGACACCAACTTTCAAGATTACATTTCGTAAAGTCAAATTAGTATCAATACCTTGTCTTCGAATTGAGATGCAAACGCCGGCGAATTTAGAAACCGCATCGCTTCCCTTATTTATATATGTTTCTATCATGAGTACATCACCTGCCTTAATACAATCTTTATTGTTTTTATCGACAAGTCTACTATGATCATTTGATTGTCGTTTAATTTCTTCTTCTGTGATCAAGCTCATTAAATTTTTGCCTTCAACATTGGGGGCATAGTTATTAAGTGAAACCGTTTTATGTAAATGGCGAAGGGCGAAACCTAAAGTTGGTGAAAGGCGAAACACAAAACTTCCTGACGAAAGGCTAAACTCCCGACGAAAGGAGAAGTTCCGAGTGAAAGGAGAAACCTCTGGTGAAAAATGAGGCCTCCTAAACTTTAATGAAAGACGAAACACCGAGAATGCCATTTTTTTTCAATGATATTACATTAGACATAAAAATGTGGCTTATATGATGATGGTCAATATCGATATCTTGATATTCTATAATCATGCTAATTGGTGGGCGATAATCTTTTTATGTAAATCAATTGTCACTAAAAAATTTTTTTTTTATTTTTTAAATTAATGAGATTTATTTGTCATAAAAGAAAAAGAAAAATAAATCGTTATTGGGTGCACCGCATCCCAATAACAGCGTATCTGGCTTTGAGCTTGACAACCTGAGCCCCTTCGGAGCACAAAGCCAGATACTTCGTTTATCCCGTGATCCCTTGGATCACGGTATTCTAATTCAATAAATCTTGTACAGTATATCGATCATGCCAAAATCAATAACTTAACCAAAATCGACCAAAGAATAAATTTATCGGATGTCTTAGATTTATTATAATATAACTGTAATAATTTATGTTTGATTACATGAATGTTCCCAGTTTTCAAGGAGACATAAAACCTTGGGAGTTTAATGATAAATAGGATACATGCTGGCTTTAGCTAAAATATGACTATAAAATACAGTGTTAGGGGCGGAAACGGCGAGTCTGTCGCTAGAAGACCAGAATTCTCGCGCTACGTCGTTCTCAAGGCTTGAATAGAGGCGTAGATACGATTTGGCGAGTATCTGAATATTATGTGTGTTGGTTATCGTTTATTGGAT